GGTTGTTAGAGCGAAACGGAACTCTAGCAATGACTCAGCCTTACCCCAGATTTCATGAAGGAGGAAACTGAGGCCCGAGAGAGAGTTGGAGTCATTCAAGGTCATGCTGTGGGTGAGTGCCCCAGTTGGGACTGGAAACCAGTTCCGGTTCTGATTCCATTATGTTTACAATTACACACACACCGACACACTCACTCACTCACTCACCCACTCACCCACCCACCCACCTCACTCACTCACTCCCTTTGTGATGTTCAGAAGAAATGAAAATGGCAACAGTGCTCTCTGCCACAGAATGTAGTAGTGAAGATTAAGTGGTGTGATTAATAAGGGCACTTGAAAACTCTGCTGGGGTGTTGTGATGCCAGTTACCTAACTTTTTCAAAGTGGAACGTGCAAGAGGATCTTTTGCTTCAGCTACTTTGTTTCAGAAACCACCTGGCCCTCCGCCCATTTGAATACATGAAGCGCTCTCTGTATCCTTTCCGGCCGACTGGCCCTATGGGCATTGTTGTGTCTTCTGCCCCAGCTAGACATACCAGCCGGATACACATGGGCAAATAATAAAGATGGCTTGGTGTTTAATGTGTATTTGTTTTTTATCGCAGATGACAGGATTGGACATTGAGAAGGACCAGATTATTGAGATGGCCTGTCTGATAACTGACTCGGATCTTAACATTTTGGCAGAAGTAGGTGATGCTGTGCAATCCTGTCACCCTGTTTAGAGTTGATTGGAGTTTTCAAAAGCACCCTTCCACCCCTAGTCGCTGTATTTAAAGTGTGGGAAAACAGGTCCATGTAGATAAAGGTTCAAAGTAAGGGGCTAGGGCATAGTGGTTCAGGGCTAGAAAAATAATCCTGCTTCACAGGCTAGTTAGCTTTAGGGTGTTTACTGTGAACCAGGCAGAAGTTTAAATGCCTTGCATAGATTCACTCTTGGGCCTTCGTCACATATCAATCAGGCAGGCCCTGTTATCATGCCCATTCTATTGCTGGTTCATAGGCATTGGGTAATGTGTGCAAGAGGAGACCTGGCTAGTCAGTGGGGGCGCCAATAGTCGAATCCAGGCAGCCCGAGTAAAGTGCCCCTAACCAGCAGACCAACGTTTGCGTTCTACTCTCATAACTAACTTTAATAGCTGCCTAATTTCTGCCTTTTCACCTAGGGTATGTGGTTCTTCTAAATCTCCATTAGCTTTTAGAATGTCTTGGTGCACATCCTGTTGACAATACTAGGCATTATTAAGGGTGTTTTTTTTTTTGTTTGGTTTACATGCTTTTAGCTGGACCATTAAGCAAAACAAATAAAACACACCTGTTGCAATTCAGCCACTCGGGAAGCACTAACTCAGTATGTGACGCCTTGTCTTTGGCCAGGGGTGGCTCCCTGACCTTGAGTAACTCTACTTCCTACTGTCAGCAGCCTGCAGACCCTCAAGACACCCTAGAATAGGAGCCAAGTAGAGATGCATGGGAAAGAACGTCTTTTAATTAAAAAAGAAAGAAAGAAAAAGTTCCCCGCGCGTTAGATGGATATGTTGCTGACACTGGGTAAAGTTTGTAAATCTGCAGTTCAGACTTACATTTATTTTCTTGGGTAGCTGAGGAGGGTGGGACAATTTAGCATTATTTTGATAAATGAATTATCACCTATTCTTTTTGAAGTACCAGCTCTATTTTCCTGATACTTCAGCTGAAAGGGGAATCGTGAGACTATATTTCTCATCATTACAGCTAGCTTTTTTTCTTTTTTTGTTGAAACTTTATATAGAGGTCTAAAGTTTTAGGTTTGGTTGTTTGTTTTTTGTTTTTCTGGCCCTTGGAATCTACTGGAGACAAATAGTGAAGAGAAGCATTTTATTTTACCAGCTCTGCTTACTCTTGGCCGAAGAAGAGTTTTTCCCCTTAGACTGTTGATATAATAGGAATACTGACAGGTTAATAGTTGATAAGTACCCTGGAGGAAATATGGGTATGCATTCATTCAACTGCAGATGAGTACAACATTTGTAAATAGAAGCCAGATGAGGATAAAGAATATAAAAAACAAGCTTTTTTTTTTTTTAAGAGAATATTGGCACTTAAGTCTAGGTTCTGTAGAAACTATCTTTAATCCTTGTATAAAAATCTGAGGAAAATGTTTTATGCTAGTAAAAGAATAAACTTCTGACTCTGAAAAACTATTCTGGACCGAGTTTACTTTGCCATTTGGGAGCAAGCTGTGGAAGGCTTGGCTTGCTAGTTGTTTTTCCCACCAGTGTTTGTTAGGATTGGTGGTTTACACCTGAGGTTTTTGTTGTTGTTGTCCATGTGTTCAGTGTTGATTTTGGTGTTTCTGGAAACTCTGGCTTCCGTGTTGAGATTCCTTTGGCCCTCACCCGTTTCATCGTGACTAAAACTCCTTCCTGTTGTAGGTTGTCAGGTATTTGGGGTACATTTTCATCGTTCCTTGTCAATGGTTGTAAACCGTTTTTACTACCTTAGTAGTGAACTCTTCATAGCTATAATTTTCCTTATCCTATTTACAACTCTGAGGGAAGGGAATGGTTTGTTCCCCATGTCCCCATCAATGCAGGAGGAGAAGCTAAGCCTGATTGCTTTAATGACAGGTTTGTGACTCCCTGCCAGCGAGTCCAGCTGACTCCCAGTGACCCTATGGGACAGGGGCGCACTGCCCCTGTGGGTTGTTGAGACTAGCTCTGTGAAGGAGTAGAAGCCCCCATCTTTCTCCCGAGGAGCAGTGGGTGGATGTGTAACCCCCTACGTCCCCAGGGCTCCCTGACACAGGTTCAGGGAGCTGCAGTTGCTGGCTCTGTTCTAGAGATTCAGTTAAATATTTTGACTGAAATGGAGCCAAGAATTTGAAGGCTTGTTCCCCCCCAGCCCCAAGCCAAGTCACTGCCACTGAGCTGATGCTGACTCAGTGACTTCCCCTCCCAGATATCACTGCCTCTTTAATCTTTTTTGGTATATTTAATGCAAAAATATTAAAATTAAGTAGTAGTATAACTTTATCAAGGATATGTGTATAGTGAGTTACCCATTTTTCTTCCTGCTTCATGCTCTAAAAAAAGCCTTACCCCCTGTCTAGTTGATTCTGACTCAATTTATGCATGTGTGTATCTTCCTGGTGTAGATGTGTATGTGTGTAATCTTCTTAATATGTGAATCCATTATATATATACTATGCAGTATTCCTTGGCCACTTGGCAATATAAAGTTGACACTCTCAGAGTGTATTCCTAATTACGGGTTGATGACAACTACCGACCAAAGCCAAGTTTTCTGTCAGTCAACCATTTAGTCCGTATTTTGAGTTTTGACTACCACTTACTGTAGTATTAAGTTAAATTTGGAGGGGGGTGAGGGGCCAGCCCCCACCGCTACTGCTACCTACGGGTTCAGTAAGCACAATTGTACGGTTGAGATATATAT